AGCTTATTTGATGCAAGCAAAAATTTTTTGAAAAATGTTGTTTATTTCAAAATATTTTGCAAAATTAAAAAAACAAAGTATGCAGAGTTATTGTTTATAGTGTGTTTATTCATTTAAAAAAGAAAAAACCCAAAAATCTTCTTCCATTCCTTAGTAATGCATCAAAAACCAAAACCAAATGAAAAATTCATGTCACAGCTTAAATGATGCAGTTAAGAATACCGTTATTTTTGTCGCCAGATTACACAGAAATTAAAATATTTTTATTCTGCGATCATTTGTAATCTAGTTTTTTAGCGAAAATATTATAAAAATTAAAGTGAGTGCATTTTGTTAACCATGGGACGGCGCACATCAATTGAAAAGCGTGAGTTAGTGTTGGAGTACTTTAAAAAGGGAATTCCCCAGCGTAAAATTGGTGAAATGGTAAATATAAGCTCTTCAACAGTTCAACACATAATTGAACGCTTCGTACATGAAAATCGCATAGAAAATAAGGGACGAAAGGCTTCCAATAAAATTTTTACAGAAAAGGAATCGAGTTGTTTGGTAAACCAAATTCGAAAAAATCCAACAATTAGCGCTCCAAAGTTGACAGACATGGCCAAAAAAGATTTTGGAAAAATTTGTCATCCTGAAACCGTCCGCAGAATATTGAGAGAATCAAATTTCAATGGAAGAATAGCTGTAAAGAAACCTTTCGTAAGTGCAAAAAATAGAATTAAAAGGTTGCAGTTTGCACGAGAGCATTTAAATAAGAGTCCAGCATTTTGGCGAAATGTACTTTTTGCAGACGAAGTCAAAATAAACTTATTTGGATCAGATGGAAGATCTTATGTATGGCGTGGAGTCAATTCTGAGCTCAAACCACAAAATGTACGTGCTATCGTAAAACACGGAGGTGGTAATGTTATGGTTTGGGCATGTATGTCATCAAATGGAGTAGGAAATTTGGTCTTCATCGAAGAATCTATGAATAAAAATATTTACTTAAAGCTTCTTCAAGAAAATTTGATTCAAAGTGCAACGAAATTGCAGATTGCAGATATTTTCGCTTTTACCAAGACATCGACCCTAAGCACAAGTCAGCATTAGTACAAACGTGGTTGATATGGCAATGTCCACACATTGTCCAAACTCCTGCACAATCACCAGACTTGAACGTTATTGAAAATTTGTGGTCCGTTTTGAAGACAAATATCAGAAAACATGACATCCGCAACAAATTTGACTTAAGAAACGCTTTACAGCAAGAGTGGAGTAAAATTAGTCCAGATTATACCAAAAAACTGGTTGATTCCATGCCAAAAAGGCTTCATGCTGTTATTACTAATAAGGGATATCCAACAAAGTACTAAGTACTTAGAATTAGTCCGGAAGTTTGTAAAAATATTAGTTTTTTTGATGTTGCATCATTTAAGCTGTGACATGAATTTTTCATTTGGTTTTGGTTTTTGATGCATTACTAAGGAATGGAAGAAGATTTTTGGGTTTTTTTTTTTTTAAATGAATAAACACACTATAAACAATAACTCTGCATACTTTGTTTTTTTAATTTTGCAAAATATTTTGAAATAAACAACATTTTTCAAAAAATTTTTGCTTGCATCAAATAAGCTGTGAGCCACTGTATATTGAAATTCTTACTAATATGACAAAAATCGGTTTTAAAAATTTTAAATATTTTCACAAAATTTGACCAGTACGTTTTGTTTTCAGATAGTTTTACATAAATAGGTATCAAACCGTATCTTACAATTAAGGTTCCTAAAACCAACGTCTGCACTAAAATCCTATATTAAAAATTCCACTTGCTCACATTAAAATATACTACAGTTAATCTAATTATTCAAAAGTATTTATACAAAATAAGAATTATAACTCAATTATTGGCATATCGGTTCCACTATGGTTGCTGTATAAAACCTCACAATGACTGACTAAAATTATATGCCTACATTAAGCTTTTTCAAACTACTCATCAACATAGTTAGTGCCCACTTACTTATTTGTAAATATTCAGCATTTTTTTTTGACGTATGAGTAGTACTATATAGTAAGTACTTATACTATATCGACGGTTATATTCTATTTGTCAATATTTAGCACTTTATTGACACGTAGAAGAAAGTAAAGAAATGCTATGCATTCTTAAAACTATATTGAGTATTAAAATATGAATATCATTATCGACAATTGTATTATATTTTTTAAAGAAATTTATCCATATTCAATTATATGTTTAATGTTTCGCATAATGGTGCATTATAATTCTCATTTAATATATTATTGAATATGGATAAATTTCTTTAAAAAATATAATACAATTGTCGATAATGATATTCATATTTTAATACTCAATATAGTTTTAAGAATGCATAGCATTTCTTTACTTTCTTCTACGTGTCAATAAAGTGCTAAATATTGACAAATAGAATATAACCGTCGATATAGTATAAGTACTTACTATATAGTACTACTCATACGTCAAAAAAAAATGCTGAATATTTACAAATAAGTAAGTGGGCACTAACTATGTTGATGAGTAGTTTGAAAAAGCTTAATGTAGGCATATAATTTTAGTCAGTCATTGTGAGGTTTTATACAGCAACCATAGTGGAACCGATATGCCAATAATTGAGTTATAATTCTTATTTTGTATAAATACTTTTGAATAATTAGATTAACTGTAGTATATTTTAATGTGAGCAAGTGGAATTTTTAATATAGGATTTTAGTGCAGACGTTGGTTTTAGGAACCTTAATTGTAAGATACGGTTTGATACCTATTTATGTAAAACTATCTGAAAACAAAACGTACTGGTCAAATTTTGTGAAAATATTTAAAATTTTTAAAACCGATTTTTGTCATATTAGTAAGAATTATCAATATACAGTGGCTCACAGCTTATTTGATGCAAGCAAAAATTTTTTGAAAAATGTTGTTTATTTCAAAATATTTTGCAAAATTAAAAAAACAAATTATGCAGAGTTATTGTTTATAGTGTGTTTATTCATTTTAAGAAAAAAAAAACCCAAAAATCTTCTTCCATTCCTTAGTAATGCATCAAAAACCAAAACCAAATGAAAAATTCATGTCACAGCTTAAATGATGCAACATCAAAAAAACTAATATTTTTACAAACTTCCGGACTAATTCTAAGTACTTAGTACTTTGTTGGATATCCCTTATTAGTAATAACAGCATGAAGCCTTTTTGGCATGGAATCAACCAGTTTTTTGGTATAATCTGGACTAATTTTACTCCACTCTTGCTGTAAAGCGTTTCTTAAGTCAAATTTGTTGCGGATGTCATGTTTTCTGATATTTGTCTTCAAAACGGACCACAAATTTTCAATAACGTTCAAGTCTGGTGATTGTGCAGGAGTTTGGACAATGTGTGGACATTGCCATATCAACCACGTTTGTACTAATGCTGACTTGTGCTTAGGGTCGATTTCTTGGTAAAAGCGAAAATATCTGCAATCTGCAATTTCGTTGCACTTTGAATCAAATTTTCTTGAAGAAGCTTTAAGTAAATATTTTTATTCATAGATTCTTCGATGAAGACCAAATTTCCTACTCCATTTGATGACATACATGCCCAAACCATAACATTACCACCTCCGTGTTTTACGATAGCACGTACATTTTGTGGTTTGAGCTCAGAATTGACTCCACGCCATACATAAGATCTTCCATCTGATCCAAATAAGTTTATTTTGACTTCGTCTGCAAAAAGTACATTTCGCCAAAATGCTGGACTCTTATTTAAATGCTCTCGTGCAAACTGCAACCTTTTAATTCTATTTTTTGCACTTACGAAAGGTTTCTTTACAGCTATTCTTCCATTGAAATTTGATTCTCTCAATATTCTGCGGACGGTTTCAGGATGATAAATTTTTCCAAAATCTATTTTGGCCATGTCTGTCAACTTTGGAACGCTAATTGTTGGATTTTTTCGAATTTGGTTTACCAAATACCTCGATTCTTTTTCTGTAAAAATTTTATTGGGAGCCTTTCGTCCCTTATTTTCTATGCGATTTTCATGTACGAAGCGTTCAATTATGTGTTAAACTGTTGAAGAGCTTATATTTACCATTTCACCAATTTTACGCTGGGGAATTCCCTTTTTAAAGTACTCCAACACTAACTCACGCTTTTCAATTGATGTGCGCCGTCCCATGGTTAACAAAATGCACTCACTTTAATTTTTATAATATTTTCGCTCAAAAACTAGATTACAAATGATCGCAGAATAAAAATATTTTAATTTCTGTGTAATCTGGCGACAAAAATAACGGTATTCTTAACTGCATCATTTAAGCTGTGACATGAATTTTTCATTTGGTTTTGGTTTTTGATGCATTACTAAGGAATGGAAGAAGATTTTTGGGTTTTTTCTTTTTTAAATGAATAAACACACTATAAACAATAACTCTGCATACTTTGTTTTTTTAATTTTGCAAAATATTTTGAAATAAACAACATTTTTCAAAAAATTTTTGCTTGCATCAAATAAGCTGTGAGCCACTGTATATTAATTAAAAAATATTAAACAAAAATATAAAATTTATTATTACAAATTAGATATAATAGTCTTGCATCATATTGACTTTAAGTACAACTGTACTTAATTTTGTAATTTATAATATTGTAATACAATATTTAATGTATTAAAGATATACATTTTGATTACAAAACCAAATCGTAATAAGTAGTATTTCTTTTTGCCAAAATAATGGTGACTAATTCTATGGCATATTATGTTTGGCATATCAAATGATTAGATTAAATAAACACAAGTACGGAAGCTCAAGATATAAAAGGCATAGCGCCCAGTGCAAATCATAATCATTTGAAAGTAGCTAACCATTGTAGAAAGAACGGTGTGCTTTAATAAAAACAAATTAAAAAATAATTAACAAAATGATTAGTAGACAAAAGATCTTCGTAGGCGTATTATTATTGGCAATAATCGCGACAACTGTAGACGCACTAACGCCAGTTCGAAAATGTAAGAACCGATATCGGAAATAACTAAATAAAGAATGTTAATTCTTCATTTAGAAATGATTTATTATTAAAAAAGAACTTAAAATAAAATTAATCTGATAATTATTAATTCATTTCTAATAGGTGGCAATGGAAAATCCTTACCTCTAAGTGTGCAAGTGAATGATTGCAATGAATTACCTTGTGATTTTTGGAAGGGTACTAACACCCACATGGCCATACAATTTGTAGCCAGTAAGTATTTAAACTTTGGAAAATACATGCTAGTAGTTATTATTGAAACATACATATATACATAAATGTATATACATATATTTATAGTAACTTATCGCATAGCACTTATTAACTTAATTTTTTTTCTAAATTTAAAGCTAAAAATTTGATGTCTTCAATCCGTTCCAAAGTTCATGTCACGACTATGGGTATGGAACTTCCTCAGGGTTTGCAAGAGGAACAAAGCAATGTTTGCAAAAATTTGATGTTTGGTGCTTATTGTCCATTGTATAAGGAAGAGGATGTAGTTTATCATTTGACTATGTCAGTTCAAGAAGCATTACCAGAAGTACCTGTAAGAGTTGAAGTGTCATTAATCGATGAAACTGATGATGAAGTTATTGCCTGTTTTATTACTGATGGACGAGTTAAAAAGTAAAGACTAGTAATCGCTTGCAAATATTTCGAAGACTGCTTTATTTACTTTTTCTTTTCCCAAATAAGCAAATTTGTTGGTTTTGGAAAGAAGAGTAATTCGTTAGATATAGAGACTAAATTACTCATAACTTAGACTTCGTATTTATAAGCTATTATAGACAATAAGTGTTAGTAATAAGCATAGTAAAGTAGTAGAAGCCATTATATATATTTTACGAGTGTATTTTAATAATGTATTTAAGATTTTAAACATTGTATCAATGCTTTATTGTTTAATATTAATAAAATGTAACCTAAAATTAACAAAAATTATCACTAGTTCTCTTTTTACTTATTGAAAGCAGCACCAGGTACATTATCAAAAAACTGGAAGTGAATCAAAATGTTTAACATATTATTTGATAATTTAAAAAAGTCAAAAAATTTATTAAATGTTGTTCCAAAACTATTATAAAATATGAGCAGTAATAATTGTTTTTTTTTTCAGGCTAACCGCAATCTCAATTTATAAGTTTCAACTTATAAACACGTTTAAGGTTCATTTTCTTAAGGTTTTCGTTCGTAAAGAATGCTTGAACATCGCACCTATTCTTCGGACGACGAGTTGACGACAATCGAGGAAGACCGCGGTCGCGTTGATCAGGGGGTTGATCAACACGATCCGTGTACGTGAAGTACAGTGGGGTGGTTCATCGCGTTCTGACTCTTGTGTCTTTTAGCACTGCAGTGGTAAGTGTTGCTCGGATGCAATGATAAGAGACATCAACCTTTAGCAGCACACAGCATTAGGTGCTAGTCTAAATACTGTGTTATATTGTATATACTATATATAAATATGATTTTTTATTTCTTTCAATGTTCCTAGGAACGAAAACCCATAGGAGAATGATATCCGTGAATTGATTTAGCTCACCGGTTTCTGTCTTTCATTTCCTTATTGGTTTTAATTATATGCTGAAAGATTACGGTGCTTTAATTACTGCTTGATTGTCAATGAAAATAACAACTTCACAACTATGTTTGATATAACCTGCAATTAATAAACATGCTTCCTAGTCGCTAAAATTTTAGCCTGAAAAACTGTATCTTCGTAAGATATCCAAAAAGAGTAGTAAATAGCTGTGAATGGTGAAAACATTCCTGTACGCGGTCCATTTTTGAAACATACGTAATTGGGATAACTTATTTCGCTCAACAAAATTTTTATTTTCCATTCAGTTCTTCTTAAAAATAACTTATAGAATATTAATATGAGGTTTGGAGGAAATCGTATGCAGAGATTTAGATTTATGTCCGAAATCTGTCTATGTCTGTGTGTACATTCTTCTTAATAGCTTGCTGTTTTAAACCAGTCCGTTCTGTTTTCAACCCAGTATAATCTAGTAAGGTTTCAGCTGTTTCAATCCAGTAAGGTAAATGACAAATACAAATCAAAACATCATTACCTACGGTGGATCCTACGATTCTAGTGAGTCTAAAATACCTATTCGATCATCACTATATCACAAGTAATCTTCACGCTTTAATTTATACAAAAAAGAACATTTTCCCGTATTCTCATCAAGAGCGTTAATACTAACTATTCAAATAACCATGTAGGTAAGTGCACTTTGTAATGGAGGGGTACGTATGATATGCCTTCCATTCAGGGTTTTGAAAAATATATATATGTATATGGTATATATATAGTATATATATAGTATATATATAGTATATATATAGTATATATATATATGTATATATATAGGGATTCGAAATGATGTTAATTCTATTTTTGTGAACATTCTTTTATTGAATTATGTATATTATTTAATTTATATAATTATATGCAAATTACTAAATGTTATTTGTATCGTTATTTTTGTTTATTTAGTAAACTGTTATTATCAAAAGTCGATTTTAATTAAACTTGATTATTATACCACCAACTTATAATAGAAAAGTGAACTAAATCCACAGGTGAATAAAATTAATCTAACAAATATTACACAATATTTCCTGATACTCGTACATCAACATTTCGTATTTATTTATTTATAAATAAGGATTTACCCATGCCAACTGTTAAGCCCTAAATACTTGTTAATTTGACATTTGGCTGACAGCTTCCATAAGCAGCTGAGCTGGCTCATTAGCCACAAACACCTCGCACTCCTGTCGCTTCACAAATGGAACACAAAAGCGATTCATCGAAGGAGGCGTTGAGTTGGCTTAATTAAATGAGCCAGAAAATTGCACAGCATTTAAGGGAGTTCGAATTTATATAAGAGTTTTATGAATATTTTTTTAAGAAAAAAATAAAAATATATATATGTTGAAGAATAAGTAGAATAACAATTAAAAGAGAAAAAAAAATTTTTTTTTTTAAATTGCGTAATAAAATTTGTTTCGATAAAACCTCTTAGTTAAATAATCCTACACATGCGAGGAATAACCTAGTTTGATTAAGTTCTTTAAGGACATAAACATATTTTAATATTAAATATTTAAATTATATGCCAAACTGCTTTAGTACTTTTTTTTCGCTTTTTGTCGTGTAAATTAAGTGTACATTTACACCAAAGAACACTATTATTTTATACCTTCGAGGTGACAAATTTCCTTAATGGCTTGTAAAGGTATAAGTTTTTAATACTAAATATACATAATTTATTTTATAGCTCATAATATGCAGTTACATTTTATTTATCAATATCATGTAAATCAACTATTTAACATTATGACTTTATCAAGTAAATCAACCCATTAATAAAATGTTCCTTTTTGTGAGTATAAGAAAGAGCCTTGCATTCAGTGCAGTTTATTACAAAGTTTAATATTCGATTAAATATACATAAAAAAAACTAACAACAATGAACCAGGCACATTTATGATAAAACAGAGCATTTATACCCAAGGTTAAATGTAGTGTTTACTTACAAATTAGTCTAGAGAACGTTTTCACGGATTAAGTGTAGTGAAATCTTTCAAAATAAGACCAAGTTGTCAGATTGATTTCATTTTACTTAAATAGCGAAGTCAGAAATCATCTATTTGATGTTTTCTATGCATCGACTGGCTTGATCTTTACACCTGTTTTGATGGTCCTCTTCTAAAGTCTTCTTTTTAAAACAAGGGTAAGAAGATTTTGAACTTGTCACGTTGATTCAATTTCACTCAAATAGCGACGTCAGGTTTGTTCTATACGACATAGTCTCTGCTGCTAACTACTTTGGTGTTTATATACATTTTGGTGGTCCTCTTAGTTTGGCATATATACAAAGTTTTATCCATGCTATTACAACGGGTCATTATTTGCGATCAATTGGACCCGTTATTTGCGATCAATCCTAAATACACTTTCTTAGAACTAGCTTAAGCAAAATCATAAGTTAGTATAAGTCTTTCTAAAATTAGAATGTATACGTTATATGAAGTTTTTTAAATTCTACACTAGACCAGACACTTTAACTTGAGCTACTATATCAAAAAAAAAAGTTTATCTGAAATAAGGAAATGTTGATATAGCTTGGATAAGTTGACATAGCTTGGATAAGTTGACATAGTTTGGATAAGCTGACATAGCTTGGAAGTAGATAAGACTAAAAGTTATATTCTTTGTAACTTTGAACTGGGTCAACAGCAGGATACTAAGATGAAAGCCCCTAATCCCCTACAAACTTGACAGATACTTGATAGAAACACTCTAAGCTTGAAAGCTTAAAACTCTCTTCGTTCGGACGAAAAGCTCCTTCAGGAACCACCGTTAGGTAATACGTCTAAAGGTTAGTGTTTTGTTTGGTAGACGTATTTGTAGCATGTAAGACCAACTATAATCGTTGTAGTTTTCTACACTACCAAGAATTTTCCCTTTTTATATTCTAATTATATTTATATATATTATATTGTATATAATATATATACATATTTATATTAATATAATAGTATTTTACCTACATAAGTGTTTTTTCCCAAATAAGCAGAAACATGTGAACAGCTTTTAAAATTTGTTTAGTAACTCAATATGATTTATAAAATTTTTAAATAATATATTTTATTTTTTAGACACTATACATAAATATTGTTTATGATCAACAACAAAATCATTAATTGTAATTTAATTTAATTATTTTTAATATTTTTGGCAATAAAAATCAATTCCCCACAGTGAACTTAATTTTTTGTTTAATGGCAGATACGTTAACAGATACGAGTACTGTCCCCTACAGATATTTTTTGGTTCCTAATTTTATTTGGTTGAGTAAATAAAGTAAATCAAATCATGAAGTTAACTGCAAAACTTCATCGTTTACTGTCAATTTTATTTTATCTCTTCAATATTGTAAACTTTTTATTTGGAGTAAAGCATTAAAAAATAGATATATTTATTTTTTTTTTAAATATATCATAATTACAGGAACGATTAGAGTATACAGGCATACAGTTATATACGGCTCCAGATTATGCAACAGCGAGCTATGTTATCCACAGCAATCGGACCAAATTTGATTTGGAAGTCACAGTTCTAAAGGAAATCGAAATGCATGATATTTTTATGAATATGAAATTGAAGATGAAAATGGTAGATGAGGAGATCTATCACACTGTTTATAATTGGAAACGTATTGATGTTTGCAAATTTCTTGTCAGCTATGGCAAGGAAGATACATTATTCAAATATTTCCTAAAAAGTGCTATACAGAATTCGACACAGCTTAATTGCCCTTTTAAGATCGGTACTATTCATATGAGAAATTTTGGTATGGAAAATAATTGGATGATAAGTACTTTGCCAGTAGGTAAATATCGTTTTTATTTGGAAGTGGCACATGTCAGTGGTGAAAGCACAAAATTGATTACCATGCAAGTGAGTTCAATACTCATGCGTTAATATCACACAGTGATATTCGATAAGAAGAGAACTTCAATAAATGTATTTTAATACAAATAAAAATATATATTAATCAAAACGTTTTATCAGTTCTTAATTAAATTTATTGAACATCTTTATATTTCCTTTAAATTTCTGCCACTATGATAGCTATTTCCTGGCGAATGTACACCTTAAGTTTGCCTACCATCCTTGGCTTGTGGATATAAATCTTTGATTTCAAGAAACTCTACAAAAAAAGTCTGGCGGTGTCAGTGGAGCAAACGTGGAAAAGAGTCAAAATCATCATTTATTATTATAAAGCACCGGAAAAAAATGGCATCAAAAAATCGATTTCGGCAAGAGGTGTATGAGATGGTGTACCATCTGATACGGGAATAGCCTTAAAAAATAAATGATAACTGCGCCGTAGAATGGTCTTAAAAAATAACCATTTGTGCAGAACGTCAGGAACTGATATGTGCGGTAACTGTTTTATACTAACTTTTACGGCCACGATATTTTTATTGAAAGGTCTCGTTCTCTTTTTATTTGAAAGCCTGGGACTAGCGATAATGCCTATAGACAAAAAATTTTTCGTGAAAACTCTTTATTGCATTCTATTTCGTCACTATTAAGTGTTCGACTAATATGTATTTTTTTTTATAGCACACATTTTCTAAGAATGACATTTCGAACACGTGCTATCATTACTCGTTCTTACCTTTCTTATCAAAATTACAAAGTTGCCAGACCGGTCCACCTAATATAGCTTAACCTTCTATAGTAGTATATTATTACACTCGTATTCGGAAAGTATCCAGTTTTATCATGGTATTAATATTATACACTAAATAAACATCGATTGAGTTCATGGGTTTGGTTATGTTTTAAGGATGGATGAAAATCGATGATTCAATTAAAAATGTATTGGTAACAGAAAGAAAACGTAACGAAATACCGTAGGTTCGTTAGAACATTTAGGTTGAGGATGCACAAACCGCACTTCATATAAGATATATGGAAGATGATCACAGAGCAGAAAAACCAGAGGTGGAGTTCAATTAGTCGATACATGAAATCCAACATCGAGTTTATAGTACCGGCTAAATAACTATATAAGCAGAAATCATTATCACATCAGCAATCAATTGAATAAATTAATTTGAACTTCTTAAGTTTAACAATAAAAATTTATGCTAATTATTTTTATATAATTCTTGGGTTATAAATTTTTTTATATACTGAAAAAAAATGTTTATATTACTTAAGAAATAAATAGTAACTTTGTAGCATATATCTGTGACTAAAAAATCTTAATATATTTTTAAAATGAAGATGAAAAAGTTTTTTAAATTATTTAACATTAAACCGATATGAAAAAAATAATTTCTTTATCTTCATTTTTTGACCTATTATCGTTAACATCTCAGTACAAAAGAAGTTTAGCTTCTTTCCAATACTATTAAGTATAATAGCTTCTACTCATGAAATAGTTTATATATTTTTATAATTCTTACACAAAGGTTAACATGCACATGTGGCAGTCCAATCACCCCCGAAGGATGACACAATATGTTGCCCGACAATGGTGCATGTATGGCACATAATAGAAACGTAATTAGACCACAATCAAACCTGACAATAATGCGAGTGAAACCCCGCAGGACACAAAATTTCACAAGCACTCGATGAAACGGGCTTGTGTATGTATTTTCTACTTTCAGGTATGAATGTGAGTAGATTTTGGATTTCTGGTTGAATGGCATAACTGCAGTTACCTTGTATGCTAGATAATCGGATTGCATTATTTTTCTATCAGCTATGAATTCTCGATAGGTGAATTATTTTCCACATATACCACTTATTACCACATATGACGTTTTTCGCATTAATAGTAGCATTTGCAATTTCCAACGTTCGACTAATTCAAGTCCCAAACTTCATTTCCTAAGTAAAAAATTTATTTGCAAATCCTCATTTAAATTGATTTTAGTTCTATACTCATATCTCATGTTTTTAGCTTAAGTAGCCAGCGATTCGTTTCTGCTTTGAAGGAAAACTTATTGGAAAGCATTGATTATCTCTCGCGGGACAAACAGCTTTGTGGTTTACTTCGAAGCCATATGCTGTCTTATACTGTATTTAATCTTGAAATCGTTGCGGTTTTGCTTAATAACAATTTTATTTTATTTTAGTCATTTTAGTTCTTTTTTATGTTTTTAGTACCACAAATAACAAAAATTTCAGAAATAATTTTGACTTTTGTATATATCATACATGGTTCCATTTGTACGACTTTGTTTATTACCAAAGTGAAGAATTATTTAAAATTGAATTATGTGGTTAACAGCACTTATAATAAAATAAATGTTCGTAATCATTAACGCTAAATAAAAATATAGAGAATATGTAGGAACATCTGGCTAAAGATGAAACACATAAAAAAAAATTGTAATCTATGTCCAAATTATTCCATTCTGATACAAATTGAAAAGATAAAGAACTCTTTGTATAATGAAAAGTATCTACCGCTTTTCAGAATATTTTTTAATAATAAGTTTCTTTATTGAAAGTCAATTTCAATCCTGTATATATGTGCCATTTAAATTTAACTCCTCTTATATTTTTCAGATAACTTCATAATGGCTTCGGTATAAAGCTTCTGTGATATATCCGCCATAAACTAAGCCAAGTGGTTTTTAGATGCTCTTCAATCACTTTTTCATTAAAAGAGTTTTGCAGAAACCGAAACAAATGGTAATCAGATTGCGGAAGATGCAGGTTATATAGGGAATGTATCAAAATTTTCCAATCAAATGCCGTCAATTATCATTTATGATAATCTCATGGTGCCATGAGATTTTCATAAATGAACACAACAACACAATTTGACCAATTTTGATATCTTGTCCTTGATTATTTCGCTCAAGCGATTCAATTATAAGCTAGTTTGAACCACCTCGTAACAACTGCCTTCCAATCTCACCAAATTGTTTGCCGTCAAAGTACGATTTGAAACCTTTTATGGGTGGCCGCTGGGTTTTTACTATGATATGTTAGCTTGCATTACCTAATCTAATATTAAATCCATTTTCTAGTTTTTTCTAGTTTCATTTCTAGTTTTTTATGACAGATGACAGATGTTATGGAGTTGTCAGGAAACTTATCCAGAACCCGACTTAAGCATAAATGTGCGGTATTCTTCAACTCACTCCACAAGAGCTCCAATACAGAAATCACTCAAATACTCGCGTTTATCTCTACATTCAACTGGTATTAAAGCACACCTCAAAATGATTGGGTAGGTGAGTATTCTAAAGATTCAAAAAACATTCACTCATTCATTCATATGTAACAAAATTAAACATAAGTTAATAAAGCGCATTTCTCCCGTAGTTGCCACATTGAAATGTTTTGAACTGTACTTCTCTAATTGAAATGAATTAGTGAATAATTCTTCTTCAGCTCTTGTGACGCAATTATCTCCAACATATATGCGTGAGTAATGTAATTAGTTGTTGCACTACTATGAAGTTCATTCCAAAAATGTATTAATTTAGAAAATATAAACTAATTCAATTTATATAGTAGAAATATAAGTAAAATCGATTAAAATTATTAAACTAACATATTTCAAAGAAAAAAAAAAAGAACTTACGTTTAAGTCTACTATTAAAGGTTTCGGATTTTCGCCGTACATAAAAGCTCTGGTGTCAGTAATGACCTTTAATAAGTGCCTCGAAGCGTTGATACTACAAAAACATAATATGATAGCAATTAAAAAGAAAATATGAAATTATAATAAAGAAGGCCACATACTAGTGCCCTATTACTCGGAACTTGAAGGAATACCTAGAGCTACTGGAACACAATAAAAAATACGTCACCAACAGTTTATATGCTAATTTTTTTAATTACAAAACTGTGAAAGTACAGATTTTCTATATTTAATTACAGCAGCAGCATTGGTAACTGCGCTTTAATATGAACTTATGGCGTGATTTTAATTACTAATGCGTTTTTGTAATTACTCCAGGCACTCGGAGAGCTGTCCTCATGCAGGCGTACGCATGAAGCTATGCAACACTGATTTCTAGAAGTATTTGCATAAATTTGTACGTATGTGGAATTATTGCAAAACTGCATAACGTCAGTAATGCATTGCTTAAAGGTAAACGAAATTACATGTAATTTGTAATGTCAGCACACGTGATTAGTAATTAAAACTACAGTTTGGTTCTTAAGAAAATAAACTAATTGTGTATGAAAGTAGTGTTGCATAAATTAGTAGTAGAAATTCAAGTGTATGAAAAATATATTTAAAATCGATTTATTACAGTAAAGCTTCGCTAGTTTTGAATAATATAGATATTATTATCCAATAATATGATTTTCTTATAGTCCGAACAAAATCCAAATATATAAAATTTACATTATTAACCTTATGGTGTGGATCAACTACTATATCATATAGATATTATATAGATATTATTATCCAGTAATATGATTTTCTTATAGTCCGAACAAAATCCGAATATATAAAATTTACATTATTAACCTTATGGTGTGGATCAACTACTATATCACCAATCTAGATCTTTAATTTACATGTCATGATCGTAAATATTCGACATTTAAAATGGGTGTTGAAAACATAAGAAATAACTTTGGCCATTAAAAACGATAGTATTTTGCTATCAAAATATCCCAGTACTGCTAATTTCCAAAGAAAATAAAAATTATTTAAGTTTCTCATTTAGTTTTAATTTAAAACTATGATTATTGTGGATTATTATTCAGTTATTGTTGTTAAAATAAATCTGGCTGTCTTGTGCAATTCAGATGACTCAATAATTTATATTGACTTAAACTTTAGTGGATTCAGGTTAGCGAAGCTTAACTATACATTAATATATTAATTTCCTGTTTACATAGGTTAGGTTGAAATCCCAGCCTTGTTACCTAAAAGTCACTCAAATACAAATAATGGCTCATTTTGATACTACGGATAAGACATT